TGACATCTCCCTTCACCCACTTTCTGTTGTCCATCCCCTAGGGAGGATGTTATATGTAGATCCTTGTAATCGGTTTCCCCCTTTCTAGCCCACCTTCTCTCCACCCTCCAGTTATTGCCACTCTCACCAGTGGTCCTGAAGGGATCATTTGTCCTGGAACCCTATGTTTCCACACAGTTTTAAGATTTTATAATCTCCTGCATAGTTGTGACTGGGGTCAAGGAGGACAACCGTATAACCTACATCAGTAGTGTCCCAGAGTTGGGGAATGTACAACCTGTGCAACCATTTGAACATGAACAAAGACTAATGACTGGCTGTATTTTCTAAGTAGTAAGATACCATTAGATGTGTCAGAAGAAGTAAAACCAGAAAAGGCTGGTGCACTATTGGAGAAAACGTTCTGGATTTATGGCATTTTTTAAGGTTATTGGCTATAACTCTTCCATTTGGGGAAAACTTAGGAGTAGTAATATGCTTTGAAAGTTATTTCTTCCTTATCTAAGATTGCTAAGGTGTTAACTTTAGATACCAAAGAATGTCTAGAGATGGTAAAATAGTTGGGGAGAGGGGCTTCTGAGTTAAAACTATGCCCTGAAAGTGAAATAATTATGGGATGGAAATTCCCCAGTGGTAGTAAGACCTGTGAAAGTAGAACATTTAGAACTTAAGTAATAGATCCTCAGTCAGCTGGGCAACAAATGTGTACAGAGCTTTACTCTATGCTAAAGCTGCTATCAAGAATGTATCAGTGGATTATGGTATCAGAATGGAGCCCTGGTGGTGCTGTGGGATGCTAACCAGAAGAATAGCATTTCAAAACCACCAGTTGCTCTATTAGAGAAATATGAGGTTGCTTGTTTCTGTACAGGGTTACATTTATCAGTGACTTCCAACAAGATGACAGACAAGACAGATGCACTGCACAGACCCTCTACCACAAAGACATGAAAAAACAGATATGGATGGAAATCCTGGAATCTTGAATTACTGAGTAATGGTTAGATAAGTGATCTGAATAACAAAGTAGTGCCTTCACTCAGAGAAGAAACAAATGGGTGAACTCTTGACTGACCTGTCATGATGTGCTCCAAATCACCTTCACCCACAGCACAGTGAGCTCTCCGAAACTGATAGAGAGAAAGGTGGCATTCCTTCTTGCACCCCACACCCTCCTGCATACCTTTGGATCAGTTGAGATTACCAACTGAGAGAAATAAACAGAATGGGAGCAAATTGACACAGTGTTTGACCTTGATAAATTTCAGCACAGTTATACACCAGTGGCTGATTGGAGAGGGGTAGGATCCTTCTTTGTTCCTAACAACCCTCAAGCAACTAGAGTGACCAGCCCCATCCTCATATACCCAACAACCAGCTGTACTTCCCAGCACACTCAAGGGCTTCAGATAGCAACTAGGGTGAAAAAAGGAAGAAAGACTTGTTGGGGTGAGAACTCCATAAACTACAATTGCTTTAGAACACAGGTGGCTGACAAAAACTAAGTCCTTGTTTATTCTGGCTTGGGTTCCTATCCTCAGCCCTAGTTACCCTCAGTTTCTTGTCCACACTGAATATAACAGTCTCCACAACCCAGTCAAACACATACCCCTAACAGATATACCTATTGGTCAAGGACCACCACACTGGTACCACCTGATTATTAAAGAAACACAAACACAATATCACACATATTTTCAGGTTATACAAAGAACCAAGATAGAGTGACACAAGCAAGTGATAAATATAAACAGTCAAAAGACCTTCTTGTAGGGGGAAAAATGGAATTACTAGATAAGAAAAAAACTTAAATGGCATGTAGATCCTTTCAATGGATTGAGAGAAAGATCAAGAAAGCTACAGATGAAACAAAGAAAAAGAAAACAAAACAGGAAACACTTTAGAAGAACTCAAGAGGATCATATAAGAACAATTTGACGCCACTATCGGCCTCTAGGCCACTTCCCTCCACCTAGGGCAACCCTGAAGGCCCAACACGGGGAGTTCTCACCTGCATTTGTTGGCTTCACACACAGGTGGGGAAATCACACCAGTCCTCTTATATGCACCAAGCAGCAGGGTGGTCTCCCCTTCAAACAGCTGGGGAAACTTCAGCCTAAACTCTGAGACCCTACAAGTGACGGGGGGCGGAACTCCTGCCCACCACTGGTGGTGCTCCATGCTGCTGCGGGAACATCCACCCAATCTCCAAGATGATCTCTTTAACTAGGGTAATCCCCCCTGCCAGCTATGGTGCTCTACACCAAGGAGAGTACACCCACATGCCCTCCTCAGTACTCCAGTTGCACAGGGAAACACCACATGCCACCCAAGGTGCTCCCAGCACTATGAGGCTTACTTAGATATCAGCCAGTGAAACGACACCCTTGTGGGCCCACAGCAACCCAACCAGCATCACATGAGAGGACTATCAGACTCGCATTCCAAATAATGGAATACTGGTTGGCTAGGGTAAAAGTGAAATCACAGGAAGATACAGTGGTAGCCTGATCCCTCAGTATAGCTCCCAGCAGGTAGTTCATAGAAGTACTCATAGGAGTCCCCCAAGAGAGAGCCCAGTGTTCTTTGACTCTGGTAGATGGCACCAGGCTCTTCTTTAAAAAGATGTAAATAGAAACCAGCCCTAACAGCCTCAACGAAAAAGCAGGAGAAACAGAAGACAATGCCAGAAGAAGTCATGAACCTAAAGATGCATAGAAGAAGCAGATATTGACCTTCCACAGAAAGAATTTTTCAGAATGCTGAAATTTCTAAATCAAACACTCCAAAAGATGATAAAAGAAATCACAGGCTCAACAATTATAGTTGGTGACTTTAATACACCACTCTCTGAAAAAGACAGATCACTGGGAAAGAATCTCAACAAGGAGGCTATAGATCTAAACAGCACAATTGGACGATTTGATTTGATAGATATTTTCAGTGCTTTCCACCCACATGGGAAAAAATGCACATTTTTTTCAAGCCCACATGGCACATATTCAAAGATAGACTACATGCTGGGACATGAGTCGAACTTAAGTAAATTCAAGCACATAGAGATTATACAGACATCTCTCCGATCACTGTGCCATAAGGCTGGAAATTAACAGAAGGACGGTGAAGAAAACAAGGTCAAACAATTGGAGGATGAATAATTCTCTATTGCAAAAGGAGTGGGTATTGACCCAGATCAGAGATGAAATCAGAAAGTTTCTAGAAACCAATGAGAATGAAAATATGACATACGAAAACCTCTGAGATACAGCAAAGGCATATATGAGAGGAAGGCTGATAGTAATAAATGCACACAGGAAAAAAGAGACTCGTGGATGATATGCTGGCACTAAACTTACACCAATTAGAACAGATTCAACAGAACAATCCTAATAATAGCAAGAGGATAGAAATAATAAGAATCAGAGCTGAGATACAGGAGAAGGAAAACAAGAAAACTATGGAAAAAATTCATGCAGCTAAAAGTTGGTTCTTTGAAAGAATTAACAGAATTGATAGACCGCTGGCAAACCCAACCAAGGTAAGGAAGGAACAAAGGTCAGTTGCAAGGATGAGGGATGAAACAGGGGACATTACAACAGACCCTAATGAAATCAGAAGGATAACTACACAGTAATATGAAAGTCTATACTCTAACGAATAAACAACTTGGAAGACAGGGACAAATATTTGGAAACACAAACCCTCTCTAGACTATCCCAGATGGATGTCAAGAACCTCAACAGACCCATAGCAATGGAAGAAATAGACAAGGTTGTTAAGGGTTTACTAACCAAAAAAATACCCTGGGCCAGATGGCTTCACAGGAGAATTCTACCAAGCATTCAGAGTAGAACTAACGCCAA